CATTTTTCTCAGGATATTAATATTATTAACAAAGCACTACAATCTAACTGATTTACGAATAAATTTATTTCTACTTAGTTAATAATTATATCTTTGATTAAAGTTAATTATTAGCATAAATCGAGGTAAAAACATACATTGTTACACGAAATGTCCCTACTTAATCGGTAATAATAGTTGTTGTTCGACCCAATTATAAGGCTAGGTTTACAACCTTGCTTTAAGAGGCCGTAAGCCGTAAGCTTTAAGATGTAAGTGACAATATATCGGCCACAGAACTTATGCTTTTAGGTCATAAGAATTGGATTTTGTTCAAGTCTAACCCCAGATCTACAATAGGGTTTTAAGCTTTAAGCCATAAGAAATGGGCGAATCACAGTCGATTATTCCCCTCGGATTCGACTATAATTGGTCAGTTTCTTACGGCTTAAGTCTTAAAACATCTATTGTAGATCCGGACTAACGGTTAAAGCCTAAAGACTGTGTAAAAACAGTTTAAAGACAAATTATTGTCACTTAATCTCTTTCGACTTATGACTTAAGGCTCTTAAAGCAAGGTTGTGCACTTAGCCTAAGTAACACGATAAATCCGAGTTATAATAGATTCATATAGTAATTTACGATCCGCGATATTAGCGTTTCTATGACATCTTATTATTTAATGTATAGGGTAACGTTGATTTATGAAAAAGCAATTATATAAGATCGTGCCGTATATATTTATGTATATAGTAGTTATACGCGATCATAATATTGTGTACTCAAGCAATAAACGTCATTTGGTGATGAGTTGTCAAAGCGGAATTATCTTACAAGATAATAAATGACCTTACGTTAACTTTGCGCCGAGAAAAACACGGGGAATATACAGGATGTTCCAAAAATCATATATTTCCTGTTTATTACATTGATAGTCATGCGAAGAGAAACGTTAACGAATTTCCTAGAAACAGCAACAATGCCTATATCTGATCAAAACTGGCATACATTTCAAAACGATAAATAATATGGTAATTAATAAAAGATAAAGATTTTTATATTCGTTTTTTATTTAATCTAAAGAAATAAATAGTATCTTGTCCAATGGTAGATAAATCGGATTTATAAGAATTTTCAGATACGTATATACGCGATAAACGTAATAATAAATACAGAAAGAACGATTTTACTAAAAAAAATTAAGTATTCTCTAAAAATTCAATTAAACAGGTCTGAAAAAATAATTTTATTGGACTATCAAATTAATTATAGCGAATATAGGTACATTAAGCTGGTTGCTAAATTGTTAAAATTTTGTGTAACATTGCTCATTATGTACGCGTTTCCTACATAATTATTGTAATGGTTCAACAAAATTGTTTTCAGATCTGTATCTAGCTAAATTTTTAGATACTATTCAGCAAAATTGTTCTTTCCGTGTAATAAATGGATCGTAAAAAAACAATCGGTGATAAAGACACTTCATCGATTATATAATGTTCATAATAAATTCGTACGCTATTTATTGCAAAAAAATCAAGAACTATCTGCGTTTGACATTCAGAGATTTACATACGGTCCGCTTTTGTCGCTTGATCTGAATCCTAGAATTCTCGGGCACTGCCCTGGTATGTATTCGTATTTAAAAGCGTACCGGAACCAGTTCGTCTCGATATTAAAATAGTATTTTATCGTGTCATTATAATTTTATGCACCTTCACGTTCGGTTCTCAAATATTTGTGCATGTATAGCGAGCTACCAGGATGGCCAGGTGGAGGAGATGAATAACATACGTGACAACACGTAGCGTTTATCTTCTTCAGAAAATGTTAAATTGCCACTTTGCGTGCATACGTAATGCTATGGCAAGACAACACGTGAACGTAACGTGGAATGTGTCTTTAAGCGAATATTTCGCTGTTACTTTCGTACAAAATACCTTATCCGGCTGGCCAAATGAATGAAAGTAAACAGTATACTTTTCCTTGCGGAAAGTAAACAGTATACTTTTTCTTGCGGAAAGAATTTTGCTGAAGCATATAAAAATTTAGCTTGCTACAGATACGAAAATAATTTTGTCAAATCATCAAAATAATGTAAGAAACTCAAAACACATATATGATAAACAATGCTACAAAATATGTATATATATTTTGACATCAATTTAAGTCCCATAATTATTTTTATAAAATTATTTTCAGATCTGTACTTAGCTAAATTTTTTAATATTTCAAACTGTTTTTTCTGTAATAGTAATTAAAAATCATTAATGAAGATAAAACATTTTTCGTGACGCTTTTGGAGATCTGAGAAATTAAAATGATCTTTAAATAAGCCTTCAATACCTATAAAATTAACTTTTAGTAATGTATATCATAATAGTTAAAAAATATTCGACTTTTATTTTGTATATATAGCTAAAATTTGTACACTTTTTAATATATTTATATATTTTACTTTTTATTTTATTTTTGTGTCTATTGAACGTGTTAAAGTTTTAAAATCGAAGAACAAAGAACTATGTTTTAAGAGAATCACGTTTTGTCGTACATCGTATAGTCCATTGTTTCACTGATTATGCAGACCGTGACGTGGGAAACAATATGCAAAGTTTTGCGGTCAACAATACATTAATTCGTTCTCGTTATTTTTTCCTTGGAGCAGAGGCGTACGTAGCAAAAGTAGCCTAACTTTAAATCAAGTGTTTCTACATATTTAGGAAGTTGCGATTGCTAAAGCTATTACCTACTTCTTTACTTACGATTTTGAAATAAAAGAATGTAAAATCGAGAGTTGTAAAGCCGGGAGGTCAAGTTATACGACATTCGACTGTGATAAAACAATCTTATCATATCGTTTCTTACGTGCCGTGCATCGAGTCAGATTGATAAATTTTTTTAATACGGTAAACACTATTTCCTTTTGCTTCATAAATTCTGTGTCTACCAGTATATGTATATCATCGCAGAAATAAAAAATTCTTTCTGGATATTGGAATTATAAAATAAAATTACACCGAATGCGTTGTGTGTGTGAAGAGTAATTCATTTTATTTTTCTTTAGCTAATAAAAAACGTGTTTCAAAAACGTGTTTCTTCGAATATATTGAATAATAAGAATAATAATAATAAGAATAATAAATTAATTATAAAAATATTAGAATAATTTTTTTAGTGAAATTGAAACGGAAATTCCTACATTTCAAGAATGTCGCAATGATTTTATATTATTAGTACAAACAAATTTTTTACGATAAGAGAAAAATATTCGCTTGAAAACGTAGAATTTCTTTTGCCACAAGAATTAAGATTTAAAATTAAAACTGCATTTTATTAATGTATTTAATTAGTACCTTCTACATATTATCTGCTTAATCAGGCAGTTTGTAATCAGATAAAATGTAAAATAACATATGCACATTGATTCGTATTTCTGAATATGCGAAGAAAATAACACGTAGAAATTATGATGTCAAGCCAAATCCTTATATAATTAATTACGAATAAAAATATACAGATTATACATACCTATAACCGTTTAATTGTTATTAATAATTTTTATCGTTTTTTTGATCGCTTAATTTCTCTTATTATATATTATATAAATATATATTATAATATATGAATACGATGTATAATGGTATTTGTCTTGGACTTTAATCTATTCTCTTTGTCCGATATCTCCGAGATATATAGGTATTAGTTGTCGATTTCACATAAAAAGCAGAGATTAAATTCTGCCATCTCGGTACAACGGTCAACGGTTGACTGACGCTCGCATAAAAAAAATGTTGAATTCTGATTAATCCGTCAATTCTCGTCAAGAATACCATTAATACATATAGGCCAGTATTTACAGTCTTCTTATATTTGAGATTATCTTAAGTATAGTCTTAAGATGTCATAAACTAATCAGCATCTTAAGACATTACTTAAGATATTTCTTAAAATATTGTGAATACCCTTAATTATTTGCTATTGCAAATACGTGCGTGCTATACATTTATCTTTCATGTATCTTAATCGATGAGTAAATCTACTAATCAAATGAATAAACATTCTCTATCTTTGTTCCTCATTAAGTTACGCATTTGCATTAAAAACATTTGTTAAATAATAATTATTTCATATTTTTCTTTTGAATTCTTCTTGCACAAATAGAAAATACTTTTACTTGTTTATTGGAACTATTACACTGTTAAAAATAAAATGTTAATTTTAACATTTTTGCATGCTCAGAAAGTTCACTATATATATACACATATCTTTATTAACCTTTAGACTGCCGGGAAAGCCACTTTTGTGGCTCTTGAGTGGGTTAAAATACCATTTTTGGTGGCATTTTAAATACTAATTGTATTAAAGATATATATGTGTATGTTGCCCAAAATATATAAAAATATTTAAGTATTGAAAAATATACAAAATAAGTAAAAAATATAAAAAAATAAAAAGTTATAAAACAAGAAAAAAATATTAAAAAATACAAAAAATAAGTTTAAGAACCGAACAAAAAAGAAAAGTCAAAAAGGAGCTATAAACTTTTTACGTCTATGTCGTTAGCTCTGAATAATGCTAAATAAAGGAAAATTCTCTGTATGAGTCTATACGTTTATATTCATTTATGTTGTCAATATTACGTTTAGGGTTCGAGATTTCCTAAATCTATGCTCAGAATTGAAATCAGCGATATCAAAAACCTTCAAACCCAAATACACTATTTCTGAGAAAATAAACATTTTTTATATTCGATCGTACGTTCCTTGCCGGGAAAGCCACTTTTGTGGCTTTGCAAAAATCTTGAAATTTTGCGTTATGTGTATGTTACTTTTATAGAAAAATTTTTGAGGAAAAAGAACCACTATTTTAATGAAAAAATGCCGGCAGTCTAAAGGTTAAGTTAAAATTAACATTTTATTTTTAATAGTGTACGTTGTTAAATAGGAATCATTAAGATTTACCCTTAAATTAAGTGTTCACCCTTACTTTTCACGAATCTAAAAATTCGATTTTTATTTCAGATTCGAAAACAATCCTCAAATCCGTCAGCGGCAGACTGCGGTCCAGCGAGCTAACGGCTATTATGGGCCCTTCAGGCGCTGGAAAGTCAACGCTCTTAAATATCCTCACCGGATACAAGTGAGTCAGCGTGGAGCTTCCACACGATATAGTTACTGCCATTGAAATAATAAAGTAATGGTGCTCTAAAGTGGCGCTAAATAAAAAAGGCGTGCGGGTGTTTTAGGTAAAATATAACCTTGCGCATATTAATCACTAAAATAAGCACACTTGTCATCTTGTTATTATTATATTCGCTCGCAACGTATTATCAGATTGAAATTAATATACATATATTCTCATAGATACAAATAAGCTCGTAGTAGTAGCAGATAAAACGTCATTTTGTTCATTTTCTATTTATTGTTAAACAGTCATTATTGATTGTGTTTCATGATTCATGTGAATGTTCACGATTGTAACGTTTTAATTTTCCCTTACGTCATTAATAATTCTGTTCTAGCAAAAGGTTATTAAAAGAAAGTTGTGCAAGATACCTAAACAATTTAAAAAAACAATTAATAAACGATCCAAATAATAAGGTTCTAAAAAATCACTTTTAATTTAGCATCCATAATGATTTGCATAAACTAGGAATTCATTTTGTTGTTTTGTTAAAGCTTTCATCATAAATCTCTCGATAAATCTTTTACTCTTAAATCTTTTATGAAAAAATTGCTTTTAATTTATCATCCAGCATGATTTTTATAAATTTTATTAGGAATTCAATTTTTTGTCTTATTAAAACTTTTGTCATATTAAGTCATTATTATTCGATATTACTACTTGATATATTATTACAAAGCTCGCATTTTCTTAAGATTTACCGTCAGTTTATTTATTAAAACGTCGAGCAATAGGTATTTCCTGCGAGAAATCCTAACGTTTATTCATATGTCAATAAACAAATGCGACACACATTGAGAAATCAGAGACAATATCCCTTTTGGCTTTCTTTTTACGATAATTAGTATCTCAGCTTTGGAGTTTGTGCTTTGTTATTAAATATTTAGGTATTCAGTGCTGGAATTTATTTGCAACTTTCAGCCGATTTTCAGTTTGGTTCTCGTCCCGATCGGCGTTTAGACTGCGCGAGGATTGGTAAGGTAAGGGACGGGAACTAACTGAAAATCGGCTGAAAGTTGCAAATAAATTTCAGCACTAAATACCTAAATATTTGATAACAAAGCACAAACTCCAAAGCTGAAACACTAATTATCGTAAAAAGAAAGCGAAAGGGATATTGTCTCTGATTTCTTAATGTGTGTCGCATTTGTTTATTGATATATGAATAATAAACGTTAGGATTTCTCGCAGAAAATACTTATTCTAGCACTGATATTCGTAATCATAAACTTCCGGTTTTTTAAAGGTAAGATTTCATCATGTTGTCTCGCCATGACCTCGTCTCGCACTTTCAATTTTTTGTTCAAATCTTATCCAAACGTTTCACTTTCTTCGCCATACTAAGGTCTCACTTTCTTCGGCGATACACGGTATCACTTTCTTCGCGTTCTGTTACATCACTACGAAACAGAAATATACCGCTGTTGATAATGAAAATTTTGCGATAGAAACATCTACGTATATGTATCGTAAATGTTTTTTTATAGTTACATGATAATTATCTGCACGTTATACTGAAATCGAACCGTGAAAACGTTCGACATTATTTTGAAATGACTTAAGGATATATTATATACGTTTTCAAAACAACGAAAAAATTATGAAAAAATTACAGATTATATTAGTTGTTTTGTGAATAAGTAAAATTTATTTTTTATTTATACAACGATTAATTGGTTTATCACGATGTACATAAATCATTTGGAGTACTTAAAGTACTTATATTAAAAAACTGAGATTTTTGTCATTATTGTTTAAAATAATTTAATTTTTAATGATAAATAAAATAAATAAATCATAAAAACATGTTGTTAAATAAAAACATAATGTCATTCATACCAACTTTCATATACATATAATTTAATACATATAATATATTATTATTTATATATATATATATAAATATTAGCACACATTTCCAATTTAATTTACTTTTCAATAATTGTGTAATACATCCTTAAAAAAAATTAATATATTTGAAATATAGACTTTTTATTATTAGTATTGTCTGCAATCAATTGACTACTATCAGAATGGTTCTACTTGATGAAGTAATTTATATAATATGACGTCTACTAAAAAAAAAATTATGTAAATTGCTGTAGAAAAATTCAGGAATTCTTTCTAATTTATCTTGTAACATATATCTTTTTTTTAACATATTATGTCTTGGAATGATGCGAGTAATATAACATACGTATTTATTTGAATAAATCAATGGATTCTGAATTGACTTGTCCAAAAAATAATATAGTGTCTTTTAAAATGCTTACGTCTTTCAATATGTTACAACTGTCGTTTGAGATCTTTTACTTCACGTTCCTGCATCATATATAAAAAAAGATTCCTTTTCATTTGCATACGAATCGAATAGAGTTGTTACGATGTCAAGGCGCGTTCCTGTCTCCGCTCTATTTTGCGTAGAGATTGTACAAGAACTGTTAGCAGGAAACTAACTTGACATATCTTTTTTGCTGTCATTATCTTTAAATCGTACATACAAGGACATTGCACATGACACTTCGGCGAGAAACGTTTTCCTAATAACTGTTCGAACTGGTTTTCGACAAGTATACATTTTATAGAAGTCGACACGCAGATCCGGTCACTAATTGCTTAGCACAACGACGTTGCATGATTGCTTTTTGATCGAGACAGTTAGTTACAGTGTATAAAGCAATTATAATAAATCTGTAATTATATATAATAAATTATGTTGTTTGCAGTTACCGAATTTTTATATCGTAGTCTATTTAAAAAAATATTCTACTGTAATTTAGTTAAAATCCAAAATGTATATAACTATAAAATATAGGAATATTTATAAACGCATATGATGACACAAATGTATCTAACCGATAATACGAATCACTTCCATCCAATTTTGGTTGTCTGTAATCGCGTCTCAAGATCAATTAGCTTTTTGGTATCTTCATAATGTTCGCAGATTCGGTGCAGTCTGCCTTTAAGCAATGTGACCTACGATATACTTGTTGCTGCGTAAAAGTTGTTTCGCTGCTTGTTTGCTTCTTTTCTAAACCGGTTTCATAGTCCGGTACGGTGTATCTACACATGCAAGATATAGCATTTCACGCATCTAACGTTTAAGAATCATTTTACGATATACGTATGGCGATCTAACATTGAGTTTCTATGCGACACGATAAAAAAAATTTATGAGTTATTAATGACTGTATTTTCGGTCAAGAACGTCTATGATTGGCCTAAATCTCTTTAGCGATCGTTGTGTACTATATATCGTTGTTCTGACGTAAGAAGATGAAAGATGCTCTTATATTCGAACAACAAGAATGACGAAGGGAGAGATAAATATAAATCATTAATTCTATGATGCAATATGTAAATTTGTGGGAAATCGCTACACTAAAAGAAAAGATTGGCTGCTGCAGCAAATTAGATGGTAAAATATGGCATAGCACTTTTAATTGGCTGCAGCAGCCAATTAAAAATGCTATGCCATATTTTGCCATCTAATTTGCTGCAGCAGCCAATCTTTTTTTTTTTCAATGTACAACATGCTATTACAAGCAAATATATTTTCCGTGTCAAATTATTTATTAGAAATTTCTTACCAGGACGTCAAGTACAGAAGGCAGCATCACAATAAACGGCCAGGAAAGAAACCTCAGTGCCTTCAGGAAACTCTCCTGCTACATCATGCAAGATAATCAACTTCATATGAATCTAACGGTAGCGGAAGCTATGAAGGTTGCAGCGAATCTTAAGCTCAGCTCACACGTTAATCAAGCGGAAAAAGAAGAAGTGGTAAGCTAATTCTCTTATTTCATCTTTTCCTTTGAACAAATCGTGATTGCATAATAACGATTAAATATAATTGTTTATTCGTGTATACGTAAATATAAAATGCATAAATATTACGTATAAATGAATATTATACATAGTGAAATAGGAAAATTCATCGTTGTATTTGTTGTTTCATCTACTTCAGTGATAGAAAAAGCATTATTTATTAATATTTATTATCCATAAGAATCCGAGAAAATCCGTGTAATTTCAGTTAATTATCAGCATTATTTTTTAACTGTTCAAATAAAAATTTAATCTATTTTTAATATATGCAGTTTTATGTATTATCGATTTATTAATTGACATGTTCACCTATCCTTCTGCAGATTCAGGAAATCCTTGAAACTCTCGGCTTATCTGAGCATCGCCGTACTATGACCTCGAACCTGAGTGGCGGTCAAAAAAAAAGGCTCTCCATCGCTCTGGAGTTAGTGAATAATCCTCCAATAATGTTTTTCGATGAACCTACTAGGTAAGTTTTAAATTTTATGAAAAATACATAATTCAGTATCTTATAACCTTATACATAATTATAACCATGTTTTTACAAATTTAAAAATTAATTCCGCACAAGTCTCCAACATATTAACTCACAATTAGATAAACAGTTATATTGTGATAAAAATTACAATGTATTGACAAATTATTATTCATAAGTGACGTGTAATTTTAATTCTCCGTGTATACAATAATTTTAATTCGAGGACGAATTTTATGACACGATTTGCTTAATGAGAATGGGAATGATAACTAAAGAGAATTAAAGAGAACAAGAAAGTGTGTACAGTATTTAAATAGTGTATTCAAAGATTTGGTTGAATAAATCTCGAGTCTCCTTCAACCCATAAGAAATCCAGTAACGATTTCTTTTGCTTTCTCTAAATGAGACTTACGAGAGAGAAACTTCGCCTTTCCTTAATAATTTCCTTGATCTTCGAATCTTGATCTTGGCACGGCCAATGTCACCAGGAAATCACATTTTTTATAAGATTACGGAAATCAGATTGTGAATTTTTTTTTTAATTTTAATGACCGCGTCATGTAGTTCACGTTGAATTTCTCTTTACAACTTTCAAGGAACTCTCGATACAACGATCAGGCGCGTTCCAGATTTGCAACGAAGTGACTGCATCTTCCATATAACTATATAATGATAAATGTTTACACGAACATTGTATCTTAGAAACTATCACGTCTGTCCGAAAATTGAATAACTTAGATTAATTTTTTAAATGTCTTCTAATTGTTATCGTTCTGAAATCCACATTCTGAATCATGTACTGATATAAAGAGATTACCTATACAAATATCGCACATTTAAAATATCTCACATCAGTCGAAATGAAATACAAAAGGGCATAACGCGCAGCGGGAGAAAGTGAACGATGCTAAATTTTTTGAAACGTTTCTTTCTCGTTGGAGACTTTCACTGACAAGAGACGGTATATTAAAATTTTTGCATTTACAGCGACGCATTTCATTTCACGAATTTGCGATGATTTTAATAAATCAGCTCATCCCTTACAGAAATCTAATATTGGTCAATTTACTAAAGGATAGTAATTACTTATTTGAAGTACTAAAAGTACTGAATAACAGTGCTTTTAATACTTAAAATAATTAATTACTGTGTTTCAGTATTAGATTTTTGTAGTGGGTTTGTCGTGTTTGTGTAATATAATGACACAAGTTAATAAAAAAAATTCCGTATTTTTGTTGTACAAAAAGTTTAAATTCGATTTCCTGGTCTACGTGTATAATATCACGTCCTCCTCAGAATGTTTCTCATTCCTCAACCGGTTCTATAAGAACCGCTCGATATCAGTTTTCTTTGTGATGGCAGAAGACAACGCCATAGACGTAAATCAGACCGGTCCTCTCAATTCTTTCAAGGTCTGTACGAGAACTTGATCTTCCTTTATCTCGCTAAGCGAGAGTAGTTTTTTTTATAAAGGAAGATCAAGTTCTCGTACAGATCGTTTGCGATTAATCACATTGGAGGAAAGAGGAATATTAATACTTCTTCATTAGCACGTATAACGGATATTTTATGCGGATAAAAATATATAATTTTACTCTTTTTTTTATTTTATTATACACACACACCACACACACACACACACACACACACACACACACACACACACACACACACACACACACACACACACACACACACACAAATATATATAATATATAGAATATTATATAATGCCAATAGAATTCTACTTTTTTACGCTGTCATAAATATGCAGTATACTAATATAATGAAGAAGAAAGTATAAGTATAATGGTATACTATAATGGTATACTGATTAATTTTATTTGATTGTTTACAGCGGTCTGGACTCCTCGTCCTGTTTCCAATGCATCTCGTTGCTGAAAACTCTGGCACGTGGCGGCAGAACGATAATTTGTACAATTCATCAGCCTAGTGCGAGACTTTTCGAGATGTTCGATGCTCTCTACACGTTAGCCGAAGGTCAATGCGTTTATCAAGGTTCTACATCACAATTGGTGCCTTTTCTAAGGGCAATTGGCCTCAATTGTCCGAGCTATCACAACCCAGCATCGTTTAGTAAGTACTTTTAAATAAGATTATTTTAATATAACCGTTTTATATTAAAACAAAGATAAAGGGCAATATGTGCTTTCAAAAAATTTGCTTCTACTTTTTTTTATTTATAATAGATTAGTAATTTTCTTTCTTATGCAAATATTTATGGTATGATATCTGATTTACTTTATAGTCATTGAAGTGTCGTGCGGCGAATATGGCGACAATATCAAGAATTTAATTAATGCGATAAACAATGGCAAATACGATATACGTGAAGGATATCCGTTCCCCGAGACGAAAGAGGGAATGAATAATTGCACTGCTACGACGGGTATATTAAAGAACAGCGATAACTTGGACAAAACGAAGATCAAAGACAAGAACGATATCAGTAATCTGCAGGAAAAATTCCCGGAGCAGAAAAGCGAGATTAGTAATGGAAGACTCATTCATGGCTACGCTACAAACGACATTGCTAAACAAGGTAACATTTTTTTTTATTATATTATATATAATCTCGGTAATGATTGTAACATAACAACTCTTTTCAGTTGTTTATAAATAACTTCAATTAATATAATTAAATACTTATAATTAATATAATTAATATAATAATTTCTGTAATTGCGAGTTAAGCTTTAACCTATGCACATTTTAGCGTTGGATGTGGCAATACCAATGGATTCGGATAAGAAGGACAATGCCAACATGGCTCTGCTCGATGAATCAATCATAGTCACACCCGAGAGATATGCCACATCCGAATTCAAGCAATTCTATATCATTTTGAAGCGCGCCCTACTTTTCAGTCGTAGAGATTGGGTAGGTGTTTGAAGAAAGATCACTCGCCTTTGTAACGCGGGTTTTATGATATTCACAGCTTTAACGTTGCGCGATTATCTATGAAATATTCATCATCTCTAATGTATCTTCAAATTTTTAAATGTTTAATTCTAATATTTCTCTAATATATTTGCAGACTCTCATGTATCTCCGACTTTTCGCTCATATTCTGGTGGCAGGGCTAATCAGCGCACTGTATTACGATATCGGAAACGACGGCGCCAAAGTACTTAGCAATTTGGGTTTCTTGTTCTTCAACATGCTGTTCCTCATGTATACTTCCATGACAATCACAATTCTGTCCTGTAAGTCGCTTGTAATTTATGCTATTATCTCGTGATCGCGAAGAGCAACTGTCATTGATACATTATCCTTATAAACCATTTACTTATTTCTTTTTTTTTATTTGCAGTTCCGTTGGAACTACCTGTACTTTTGAAAGAAAACTTCAACAGATGGTACTCTCTCAAGTCGTATTACTTGGCGATTACCATTTCGGATTTACCTTTCCAGGTAAGATTTATTGGCTAACGACAGAAAAGAAATGACACAGTTGTTGCACAACGAATAAATAATTATTCTCTCGTCCTTTGCTTTTCAGACTATATTTTGTATATTGTACGTTACCGTCGTGTACTTCCTGACGAGTCAGCCAGCGGATATAATGCGGTTCTCCATGTTCTTGGGCACCTGTTTATTGATATCTTTTGTTGCGCAATCAGTGGGTCTCATGGTCGGCGCAGCGATGAATGTGCAGAACGGCGTGTTCCTCGCGCCAGTAATGTCGGTGCCTTTCCTCCTCTTCTCAGGATTCTTCGTCAGCTTCGACGCGATTCCGGTCTATCTACGATGGATCACATACCTCAGTTATATCAGATATGGTTTCGAGGGAACCGCTTTGACCATTTACGGCTTCGGCCGAGAGAAATTAAAGTGCTTTCAGGTAGGTTTAATCGCTGCATTCGCAATATTGATCGTTGACTACGACAGGCATTACTGAACTTTTGTGCATTTTAGGTATATTGCCACTTCAAAGATCCGCAGACGACCCTGGAGGAATTGGACATGCTTGACGCTGACTTTACTTTGGATATTCTCGCTCTTCTGCTCATCTTTGTCGTGCTGCGAATTGCTGCGTATCTCTTCCTGCGTTGGAAAATTAAGACCGTCCGATAGATCATCAGTATGTATAAACCTTGTAAAATTAGATGGTTGCAAGTTGTGCTGGTTAACGCAAGTGTTACCATCTATTGCGTAGAACCTCGCAGGCAAAAACGAACATATTTTTCGTAATCTCGTAAAAGATATTTTAAAATGGCGATACGAAGACTCGGTTCCAGCGTTTCGCGACATTAAATCAAGATACAAGGAACTTTATGCGGAAATCATGATTTTCGCAACTTCTCGGTGAGAACTCTCGCAAAGATAACTATTCATTGTCGAAGAGACATTAGTACATTTCGAAAGTATCACGAAGTATGATCTACTTTTTGTCGCATTTTAGGGTTGCTGAAGTTTAGTTGATAGTAGGACCAATACTAATGTAACTTATTTATATCCTTAATTTAATAACGACGACGGCCGGTAGTTACGATTGCAACATTTGTTCAGGGTACTATTCTATACTATATATATATATGTGTACACGTATACATATACAGGATGTCCGGTAAATTTTATGAGTACAAAGCGCTTATATGTAAATAGCGAGCTAAACAGTCGAAAGTGGACTTTTCGACTCATTGTCAGTTTAGTCCGCTCTACTTACATAGTAAGCGCTTTGTCAAAACTTACCGGACATACAGGGTATATTTCGAATATACCCCGTATATTCGAGATATACTATCTTCCCTTTTTTATTGTGTCAGTACTCTCTAAATCTTTTAGAGTGAATCTCACTCTGAAGAGTGAAATCTCATTTTCAAAGATTGAAAATCACTCTTTCAAGACTTTTTTCAAAAATAAGATTCCACTCCAAAGAATTTACAGAGTATATATATATTTTTGTTAGAACGCCACCAAGCATTAATCTTGAATTTATGGTCAACTAAAATTTAAGCATTAAATTCAAGCGTAAAGTCAGCGCGATGTGATCATGCAGTGACTTGAGATATTATCAATTATTTGAAATATATGGCCAAAAATCTGGAATTGTTTTGAATATCAGTCGAAACAAAATAATATTTAAAATATATAATCTTGAACGTATAAAAAAATCTTTTAAGAATACATCTTTTTTTTAACTTCATCTCAAAATGTCTTTGGACAAAACAGTCTTATTTTTTAAAAATCATATCCAGATTTTCAAACATTTGAAATGAAAGATTTTTTAGAAGTTCAAAAATTTCAAAACTTTCAAGATTCTTCAAGTTTAAAAAAATTTTTTTCGTATAGTATTCAAAGAAATTTAAATCAATTTAAAAAAAAATTTATTAATCGTTTAAAAAATTTTCAAATGAATTCAAATGCTTATTACTAAATTGTGCGGCTAAACGAAGGGATCAACTCGCGCGTGATCCTCAAGAGGGTCTTATTAATTGCCCTCAATTGTGCCTACTCTTTGTGAACAGACACGAAGCCTTAATCAATGATGTATTTCACGAACGACCACTCTATTTTATATGATGGCTGTGAGCTTCATGATGCAAAGAAAAAGAAAGGAAGATCAAACGTGAATAATTGTGTTCTTAAAATTAAGTTCGGATGAAACGACGAACGTCCGAAATGATTTATAAGCGCACGAATTTATATATGTCTTGCCAGATTAAGTTTACACATTGAAGATCAGATGTTTTTGATGCTTTACAAGGGAAAGGCGGTTCTATCAAACTGTTAAAATGGGTGTTTACGAACTCCTGTAAAACATTCATAGTCACATTCCTAAGCAGAACAATAAGTCACGATAACATCAAATCAAAATGACATTAAAATGAATCGTAAACATGATCGAAATGTGATTGAAAGTTATTTTTAATCATTTTGTCATCATTTTAACGACTTGTGTTTTGCTTAGGTTTCGATGCCGAAGATAATAGCGAGCAAATGTACATAAAGATATTTCTTAGATAACTTAGAATAAATAACGGCAAATAAATTCTTTCCGCGTTACTCTGTATCAGTGCTCAGAAGCTGATGCAAAAAACAAATTTTTATACATTTTCGAAAACAAATTGTTAAATTATTAAGTTCATTTATTGTTGTATATGAATTGTTACTATGTTTCATATGCAGAATGCAGGGTTGACAAACGTTACTTTTCAGTAACTTTGTCGTTACTTTTTATAGTAAACAATTTGATGACGATGTTGCAATTTTTTATGACGGTAACATTAACTAACTAAACGCTAAGGTTGTACTAAGGTTAGAAAAGTCACTTTGAAAAGTAACTTGTCACTATTACCCGTTACACTGAAAAAGTTATAAGTATAACGAGTAACGCGTAACGTTACTCGTTACTAAAAGTAACGCGTTATAAATTAGGAGTTATTTTTTTCAGTAACGATTGACTTTTCTAAACTCTGATGTTAGCATTACCATCATAAAAAATTCGCAATGTCGTTACCAAATCGTTATTATAACAAGGTAACGATCAACAAAGTAACCTGTTACTTGCCAACCCTGACAGAATGTAAGATTACAAACAAGCATAAATTAATTTTTCTAGTGTTAAATCGTTAAGTGATATAAAGAATAGAATTTCTAAAGATGGGAAAGGAAAACAGCAATTTAAGATGACTCTATGTCGTTGTAAATTAATATATAAAATTCTTATTTGTATATTTTCTTATCATCTCACCAAAGTTAAGGATTTGAATCAACGATTTACAAATATGAATACGTATTAATGCGATTGCGGCGCTCAAATGGATAAAGCAATCCTTACGATATACATGTGTATTTTTACTTAAATGAAACGAACAATAATCAATTGATATAGCATAATCGATTGTTAATATAAATATACTTTTGTAAAACAGGTGCGTCGAGATGTACATGTATCTACAATTATGCCGAATTGGCATAATCCTTACTATAGTTTACGCTGTATGTACAATACGAATAAAATATGCTTTTTGTAATACGATAAATTTCAATTTTAATAATCTCTATCATAATCGTTTTTTTATTTATTTTTACAACCCATCATACTAAACACTAAATTTCTTTATTTACACAGAAAGAACGGCTTTGTTGAGAGAGTTCCGTTTGCCTACAAATTGATTGCCTACAGCATCGTTTGCCTATACTATATTTGCCGACAGTTCGTTTGCGCACAAAAATTATTGCCTACAGCTCGATTGCTTACGAGTATTATATGCACAAATATAAAATTAAGTAAAAAAGGCATGTTTGCATACACGACACTATTACGCACAAACTGCAATGTACTCGTATATACATAATTATTGGCTACAGATCGATTGCCTATAAAGATTTTTGCAAATATAAAAATTAAGACTAAATTATGTATGAAAATAATTTGTGTTTTTATATCAGTGAATTTGTATTTTGAAGTAGAAAATTTGTGTTTTTAAAACAGAATAATGCTTGTAGGTAATCGATCTGTATAGGTAATAATATGTGTGCAACGCAGTTTGTGAACAATAGTGTCGTGTGTGCAAATGTGTTTTTTTTCTCTTAATTTTATGTGTATCTGTGCGCAATAGCGTAGGTAATCGAGAATTGTAGATAATAATTTTTTGTGCAAATAAACTATCAGCAAATATAATATAGGCAAACGGTGCTTTTAATATTGGGCAAGCGTTCTATTATCTGCAATTAATTCACAAGATTTATGTACCACAAAGGAGAAATACATTACATCTTATGACATATAATATGACTGTCAGTGATGCGATAAATGGATATTACAGAACAAATCTCAAAGAGTAAAATGTATAAAAATTAATATGTACGATAATACGTCAACTTTAAACACCACTTACTTAAAGTACGTCTTTTAAATAAATTTACAATTACTGTAAAAAATTTATACTTAATTAATGTTATCTTTAATTAATATCGTGGATAAAAAATAATAATAGTATTTCTGAAACAAATTGTAAATGAAGCGTTTTAAATATAATTGCTTTGCAATCTAATTTTCTTTGCATGCAAAAATTTATAGCTTATAACACTGTAAATTAGTGTCACGGATGAAAGATAATTAGTCGAAAAACAAATCATATCATTACGTTTGGGTAAGATTATCTTAATGGTTCATAATCATACGTTACTGATCTATAAGAACGTGGAATTTCTGTTTTATTAATGATCTCTGTATGCGTGTGTGTCATTAAAGATACATGAAATTATCAAGAGCTATTATATAAGTATAAATCTTGTGTGTGTGTGTGTTTGTGTGTGAATCGACTATTAATTTTTAACATTCACGTGAATGATTACAAAGAAAACATGTTATAAACCATTTCTGGATTATCATTCGGAGTATGCAGTGTTTTCAAATTGCGTATTTAAAAAATCTGTTTGTTTTTTCTTCATACAAATTTCTTATAAAGAAGAACAGTAATATAGTTAATGAATGAATAAATGTATAATTAGCTATATATATATATATATAATATGTTTATAAGAGCCGATATACAATAAAAGATCTTATATACCTTTTATAAGAAAATTTCTCTTTCTCTCTGAAAACTATAAGCAAAAAAAGAATATATTTGAAATACGTGATGTACAATTTACGAAAATTATAATACAATTCATTGTATGCAATATACTTTTCATTAACAGGCATTATGCAAAATAGAACAATGGAAAATGGAATGGATTTTATTTGCAGATATAAGTATAAAAAAATAAAGTTTGTCAGTTTCTGCATTGCTTCAATATAAATTATAAATCATACTACTTTTAATAAAATAATCAAAGTTCTGACATTTTGCAAATTAGTCACAATTATGATATTAAATAGTAATTAATAAAATTTGCATTATACATAGTGCGCCCGTTAAATGGGACTGATATTTTCTTCTAAATTAACCTTGGAGCTTGTTATATTGATCACGTTTGATCTTGTTGTTTTTCCTACATGGCTCTGCGTTGTTTTAGTCTGGAGTAATAGTTTAAGCGTAAAAAATATACGATAGACAAAGAGTCGACTGACTGTCGTATCGTTTATGGAAAACAATTAAAATTGTGTCGGATCTACGTCCGCGGATATACCTATTCGTTGCCATGGACTGTTCATAAACGACACGATACTCAGCTAAAACTTTGTCTATCATGTGCTTTTATCCTAAATGTTAAGACATATTTGTATTGTTTATGATGAAAATGGAATTGCGTAATATCGCACAATAATCTTTTTTTAGTAAAATGGCGATATGACAAAAATGTTTGCTAAAACATCGTTTACATTGCGGGCAAAAAAATATATAGCTATGTGATATTAGTGTGATTTTAACATAAAACTTAGCGATAATGCTATAACAATGTGTGAAAAGTTTCAACTTTTTTTGCTGTAACATTATCACCGAGTTTCATTAAAAAAAATAACACATTGCTGTGTAATGTGATTTTATTTGCGTTACAAACGGCACAAACACTTAAGAGAATTCTAAAGTGTTTTATTGATTCAGTAGGATTGATACCTAATTTACATGTAATTGACACGTGTCAATGACACATTACTACACACTATTATAATATCGTGCATATACATATAAATTTTTTAACTAACTCTAATCTCTTATATTAGATATCTAAGCTAATTTTAAAAATTCAACATTGTGTTTGTTCATGTAATTCCTAGACCAAACCAAGATTGTTTTTCACATACAAAGTACAAAACTTGTATATAAAGCAAATATTGTTGCGAGTTGTCACCAGAAGCTGATAATAAAACTACAATTTTCCAACTTTTTTCGTTTTTAACATAAAGTCGACTGATTTGAA